TCCTTCCCCACAAGGGCGGTCAGGCACTGGAAGGGGCTGCCCAGGGAAGGGGTCGAGTCCCCATCCCTGGGGGGATTTAAAAGCTGGGCAGAGGAGGTGCTTAGGGACAGGGTTTGGTGGTGGGATGGCAGGGTTAGGGTAATGGTTGGGCTTGGGGATCTTAAAGGGCTTTGCCAACCCAAACGATTCTGTGATTCTGTGCATAAGGAAGGGCCTTAGGCTGACCTGGAACATGGACAAGGACAACCATGAGCAAACATTACATCTGTGCATCTGCTATCGATGGGCAGAGGGGCCATACACAGGACACTCTGCACCCCTGGGGCTGGGACTGGCACCTCTGGGCCACCTAACACAGCCCCGGGCTTGATCCTCAGCACCCACAAAAGGACTCAGGGGCTCAGGCCAGACAGTTTGGTGTGGAGGCTGGAGTCTGGGCTCTCTGGCTCCAGTTCCTGCTCTGCTCTAAAGGCAGTTTCATTCCAGGATGGATGTCATAAAATCATGGAATCCCAAGATGGAAGGGACCTCAAGGATCATCTGGTCCAACCTTTCTGGGCAAGAGCACAGTCTAGACAAGTGGCCCAGTACTGTGTCCAGCTGAGACTTAAAAGTGTCCAAGGTGGCGGAGTCAACCTCTTCCCTGGGGGGGATTATTCCAGTGTTGACTGTTCTCATGGGGAAAAATTTCCCTCTCATGTCCAGTCGTAATCTCCCCAAGAGCAACTTGTGTCCATCCCCCTTGTCCTCTCCATGGGACTCCTTGTGAGAAGGGAGTCTCCCACTACTGAAATGCTGGCTCTGCTGGGGAGAAAGGGAGAACGAGTTCTGGGCATGGGCTGGACGCTGGTGACAGCACAAGGCGCCCTCACAAGCCCGATGTGATGCCATGCCCAAACCGTGGTTGCTCAAGTTAGCCATGAGCTCGGCTTACTGCTCAGATTCCAGGGGACAAAAGTCTCTTCCCCTGAGAGGCATGACAGCAGCTCCAGCATCCACCCCGCCGACGTGGCAGGGCTGTTTGCCAGCACCCACACCCTGCACAGGGTCAAGGTCCTTGCAGGTGGAAGGAACGTGGGGTGTGACTCATGCCAGGAGAATTGTAGGCCAAAAGCAGCCTGGCCCTGCAGAGGCAATGTGCAAAACAAGGTGCAGAGAGAATAAGGGCTGTGTCCTAAACAAATAGGAAATGGCCCCAGAAGATGGCCAGCCTCCCACAGGGTGTTTCCGAGCTGGGAATTTCTGGTCCTTGGCTATTCCTGGCTCTTTGTGCCATTTGTCTTCCTGGGAATAAGGTGGGGACTGGAGAAAGAGGAAAGCTCAGTGAGACCTAGGAGGCTGTGTGGGCCCTGGAAGAGAGAGATGCCAGAGCTGGTTGGATGAGACAGCTGCTAGTTTCCACCGCGAGGTCCGTTCAGGAGCTCCCATGCCCTCAGGGGCTGGAGCTGGGAAGCCCAGCGCCCCTGGGAGCGGGCATTAACAGGACCCTTGGCTGCCCACGATGCATCCGTGATCTCCATCCCAGAGGCTTGCTGGAGGGAGGCAATACTTACCTTTCGAGAAGACCCAGTTGGTCCTGCTGCTGTGAAGGAGACGGACTGACCCAGGACTCCAGCTCCTGGTGTACGATGAGATTCCCTTCCCCTCCACTAATGCCACCAGCCCCGAGCTGCCTGTGGCAGCTTGTCCTTGCACTACACTCACCCCTCCTTTCCCGCAGCCCGGGAGCATTAGGCTAAAGGGAGGTAAAGCACCACCACTGCAGCGTGGGACTGGGCTCCTCCCGTTCCTCGCGAGGAGCGTGCGTGCAGCCAGGTCTGCGAGCGGGGGCGTGGGGCACTGGTGGTGCATGTGCCACAGGTGAGGCCAGCACGTGCAGCCAGTCCCTGATGTGTGGGGACCCAGATTTCCAGCCTTCAACCTGGAGAAACTTCGATGGTTTTTCCAGCGACCCGGCAATGGGTGGTACAGCCCAGAGCAGTCCAGAGCCTCCTCTCCCCCAGCCAATGAGACAAGTGCCGGACTCAGGAGCGGGTTCCTTAGAACCAAAGGTGGCCTCTCGTTCTGCAGATGCCCCATAGCCGATGCTTACTGCAGAGCTCCTGAGCTGCTTGTGCAATCAGGGAGGGAATTAAATGACAGGAGATCCAGAAAATCTGTTTGGCACTGCAGGGCTTCGAATCTTCTCACATTAAACAAAAAAGGCAGGAAATGCAGAGCAGATGTCAGGGGCTGTCTGCAGCCAGCAC